TCTGAGGAGAAGGGTGTGGGCGGCGAGGGGGCTCCTCTGTATGCTGCTCTCCTCTCGTCCGTTTGTCCCTTCTCTAAGTATCGGTGCCTCTGCCCGGCGCCCATGGCTGCCTGCTGCTTCGTTTTCAGCTGCCTCCATCGCGGAGCACGCGTTTGGGAAGGGCTGGTGAAGCCGGTTTGCTTCCCCTGTCCTACAAACGTGTGGTTCCCGCGTGCTCTGGGAGTGCGTCTCTAGTCTCCCTTCCTCTGTGGGGTGACGGCTATAATTTGTGGCTCATTTTTTTCCAGTGTGTAATTGTTGTTTCTGAGTCCCTGCATTTTTTACTTGTTAGTAGTTGTGTGTTACATACAGTGCGTTTACTCCCTCAGAAAGCAGGTCTGTCACTTCAAAACCAAGCTGGTGGCAGACTAAAACCACATCTGCTTTTTTTCCATCAAAAGATCAGTACCAGTTCTGGCATAAGTAAATCCTTGTGACTCTTAGATCTGGATGAATTCAGTCGAAAAGAAAACTATGAATGATGCTATGTTATATATAGCCAGTTCATTTTATCCACAGTGTTCGTGCATGTTGGCCTTAAAATGTGAAAGTAGCTCTGCTGGGTGTTATTCCTGGTCTTGATCGGGTTGAAAACATGTTTCTATTAACATATTCTGTATTCTTCTATCTATATTTTTCATGGGCTAAGGTAAACTTTCAAACGTGCAAAGCTTGTCCTTCTGTACTTACGCAAAGAATTCTAGTTGGGAATTCCTGGATTTAAATTTGAAAATACATTGTATGTTACGAGCGCATGCAATAGCAGGGGGAAGGCCATTTCTAGGGCTCTCGGGTACTAGAGGCCAGTTGTCTCTTCTGAAGCACATTATGGTTTATTTTCTGGAAATTGAAATGTTTTTGTTTTGTTTTGTTTTTTTTAATAACTAAAAACCTTTGACTTAAAGGTGGGGTAGAGCTAGGCAGCTCGTGGGATTTGAGGAGTTGCTCTGCTCCTGAGCTCAATTCATTTGACCTGGAAAGGGTTGTGCTGCTGGTGACTACTGAAATACTGAAAATACAGACAGCTACTGCGTACTGAAATACAGCCCCGCAGCTGCGGTAGGAAGCAAGGCAGCAGGGTTTCACTCTCTGGGTTACCCTGGCATGCCTTCTCTAACCTACTGCATGGCCAGGCTTGCCCAATACCAAACTGTAATGAAACTGAGGAACGCTCTGAGCCTGTAAACCATTCCCACAGCTTTTCTTCCCTTTGGGGGTCTTTGGTAGGTAGTGTTTCTTGTCACTGCAAGTCACGTAGGGATTTGAACGCATATTTTGTAGAGTCAAGAAGTTAACCACCTTTAGAATAAATATATATTTAAATAATGTGAGTCATCTATGATGTACAGGAAGATTTAGTGTCCTTTTCTGGCCTTAAACTCCATAATACTCTGTATAACTATGCAACACCTAAATCACTGGTAATTCTCAGTAGTTCTCTATGCTTTGGTCTTTAGAAACTAAGGTTGGACTGGCTAGCGCAATATTTTCAAAGGTTTTCTAATAAAGGATCCTGGGTTCATGGCACAGTCAACATGGACAATGTGTGCTAAGTTTAGCAGATAAGCTTTGCAAACGTTTTTAGTAGTTTTATATATTTATTTGTGGAGAGTATCGTGAAAATCATTGTTACTCTTTAAGCAGCGCTTTACACAGGTAAATCACTTTCCGTTTTTACATTTTGCATGTTGATGGTGGACTACTGCCCAGCTGAATTATTTTTGGCATCAGCGTGTTTGCGCAGAGCTGGTTCTGTAGCAGACGCTCAGCCTCTGACCCCTGACGTGTCTAGATTAAATTGGGTAAATTTGTGCACTTTGTGAAAGCTGCAAGCTGTGGGTAACAGCAGAGCCTGCCTTATGAAAGGTACCTGGCAGGATAAATTGTACCAGACATAGTGCGTGATGCCTGTTTGGCACCTTTCAAATTGAAAAGGTAATAATAAAGTGTCATTTAAAAGCAAGTAATCAATATCAGTAACTGAATTGTTAATAATTAAATTTCAGTTTTGTATTTGACTTCCTCGCATTCATTTAATTTTGATCTACTTTTTTTTTAATATTTACTGACTCTGGTTGCTTACTCTCTCACAGTCTTTCATTTCTTTCTAATGCTAAGACAATAATTAATGGTACAATTCTTACTCAGCCTGAGTGCTGCAATTGTATTCTTTTGGGCTTCCTTCTCCTGTTTGTTATTCTTCCTCATCGTTATTCCCCAAATTATTTTTTCTTTCTGACATGGCCTCTCTTCGGGAGTCTTCATAGATCTGTTTTCCACAGAGGAATTAATTTTCTCCTTTGTGCTATGGCATAGGTTAAGCTCTTTTATATTTGACATTTTGTTCTTTCAAGTTGCTTCCTTCAGTTGCTGCAAGTAACTCTTCTTTTTGTGCTTTTCAGTTACACTTTTCTCTACACTTTTGCATTATGCAAAGAATTGCCTCCTAATTACAAGTATCTCCCAAAACAAAAGATGCTGAGTTTTAATTCAGCAGCTTCAAATCTGGTCTGGTTTATGTTGTTACGCATCTTTCGTGGTAAAACGTTAAGTTGGTCAATCTGTACCTTTAATGAGTGGGCCTGAGGAATTAAGTTCCTTATTTTTAAAATGAATACTTTTTTCTGACTTTTGATTTAGTTGTTGGGTTCTTTACCTAACTGCGCAGCCTGGCAAGGTCTCGGTTTCTGGAAAAGATAAAAAGGGGTTGTGGAACGAGGAAAAAATCCTTCAGGTAAAGGAGAACCCTCTTTTCCTTAAAGATGCAAAAAGCCCCAAAGAACAGCATTAATACTTTGATGCTTGTCTTTGATGGTCTGTATTTGGAGGTATGAAGGCTAACAGTACAGCAAAATTTGCTCGGAGTGATCGCATCAGTGACTGATGGAAAATACTTCCTTTAGTAACAGCATTTTAATAGAGGAGGGAAGCATCTTTGACAGTCTCTCTCAAGATTCTTGTGGGTTTGGTTTTTGGTTTTGTTTTTTTTTGTTTTGTTTTGTTTTTTAAAATCCATGGTCATGTTATAGTACTGTTGTGCTACAATCAACAAAGCTCAATGACACCAGGAAATGCCTAGCACAGTATTTTTAATAGCTTCGAAAAATGAAAAACATCTTTTTTGAAGTTCTAGTATAAAATGTAAAATATTAGCATTATTGAGCTGCCAGTTTAAAACTGTAATGATCAGAGTAATGAAGTTGGGGAATGACTTATGCTTTGGTAGGTTATCTCCTTAAGATCATTCCGTGTTGCTAAGTAACATGATATGGTATTTCATTTTAAAACATATGGTATATAATGCATAATTGATTTAAAATTTGCAATTTTTTTTCGGTTTTAGTCAATTGAAGAAAATGAAGTTTATCTGCCTAATGATGAGCTCTGGATCTATGAAATGGATAGCGGGTTATGGTGAGTTGCATAATTTATATTTAATTAATATATAAAGTTGATCTTTGCATAGATTATAATTAGCTGCAGTGAAAAGACTTACTTCAGTTACATGAGTTATTGGTCATATTCCCTGGAGTTTAAGTAGCAGATGTTTAATGTGAAGACTGAAGAACAGACATATGTACTTGCAAATTGCTGTAGGAAACACATTAATTCCTTAAGTATCATTGTTTTTATCAAGAGGATGTTTGAAATGGCTGGCTTAAGGCTCTGTTGCTAAAACAGGTGCATTTTATTTGTGCGTTTATTTTGGCTTAGCTCTCCATACATTAATTTTTATGTTAAAAGGAATATTTAAACACTGGATATTTGGGTTCTTGATCTATTTACAATTATATACTTTTTGTTATTACTTGTGTTACAAGTGTTATTTGCATAAATAACTTACAACTATCCAGATCTTGCACATCCCTAGCAATTTAATCTTTACATTTTATATTCATTGTGTTCACATATCGTATGTGGGGAGAGATAACAATGCCTATTTTTTAAGTTTTCCAGTGGTTTCTATTACAATAATTGCATTTGGTCTTGTAAGGTAGCATCCATTTGTGCTTATATGTTTTCTGCCAGCTGTCTTTCTAGTCTCCCACATGTTTATGTATTTCTTGCATACGCATACTCATATTCAGGAGATTCATTGCATATCCATGTTCAAGGCAACAATTTGAAATGGAGGGAAAAGGGGAGGAGGGCTAGATCAGGAAGGCGTCTTGTAGTATATATGAAATTCCACATCTGTGCGGTCAAGTCACTGACTTTGAAAACAACAGTTTGCGTATGGTTAGCTGTGAAGTTCTAGCAAGTCTTTTTTTTAAGATTGCACCCTCACTGAGACTGTGGTTCGCTGTCTGTTTCTTTTGGTGAAAGGGCTGCGTAAAGCAGCCTCATACTCGTTTTTCACCCCCGATGTCCCCGTATCAGTTGTACTGGTACAGCTGTTTATATGGTCACACGGGAAATTGGATCAGGAAAGTGAGCTGGGTTAAATATAACTTTTATTTTTTCAGGGTTATTTTTAACCTGGATCCGTTCTTGATCTCATTCAGTTTACAGCACAGGCAGTGGTACGCGTACAGCTGAGTGCGCCGCAGGACGGGAACAAGC